CCTGTAGCGGCCAATCTGGGAGATATGTAGTCTTTCCCTGCCCCCACTCCCAACCCCATACCCTCGTGCCACGCTCCAGCAGCCCTCACTGCCCTCGCGTGTGCCTGGCCCTTGCCACCTCTTCTGAAAATAAATCCCCTTTGCTTCCCTTTCATCCCCCAGACCTCCCGCCTTGGCGCACAGTGCCTGCCTAGTCCCTTTGTGATCTCTCCAGGCGTTTCCATGGCAGCTGCCTTGAAGCTGGCCCCTGGGCTGAGGCCTCCTCCCTAAGGGGGAAGGGGGGGGGAATGGAATGGAGTGGGAAGCTGGAGCCGTAGCCTGAGGAGCCGCGACTGGCTTGGGTGCAGGGATAGTATGCCCTGTGCACCGTGGAATCATGAATAATGGACTGTGGGCAAGGGCATTGTGGAGACATAATGTGTACAATGGCGGAGCTGTTAGGAGGTTGTGAGGGAAGAGGAGATTTCAGCTGGGGTGGAGAGTGAGGTGGGTGGTAAAAAGAGATTCAGAGGCAAGGTGGGTGATTACTGTGAGCAACCTCCCTTTCCTGATTTGAGAACATTTTATTTGGAAAACCAGAACTCTTTCTCTGATTGTTGGCCTGATCCAGCCCGCAGAGTTGCATCCTGTTCAGCTGAGTAACGTGTTCAGGACAGTCATTGGGCTGATCATATGTGTTGGAAAGATTTGGGGCTCTTTCCTTTGTTATCTACCTCATGGGGAGTACAGTATGTTGATGGAGATCAGGTTAGGCCTGGTGGAGGATGCTGCTAGAGGTATAGGGACCAGGTGGAAGAAGAAGAAGGGAATAGGAATCGCCAAATTATCAGGGGTGAAGTATCTTGTATCTAAGTGGCTATATGGACAGTTAAGGCTGGTTCAGGGAGTAAGGTCTTGATTTTGACCATTCCTCATGATTTCCTACTGTCAGCAAAACGCCTGGGAGCATCCCTCTCTGACCTGTGGTGTGTGTGCATGGTGCTTGTGTTGTAAATACATACAAATCTTTCTTCTCTCCACTTCTGCCGCTGGTATATAGAATCCGTTCTAATTCCCCATCACTTTTTATTCTTCCTACAACGACTTCCTCCTTGAGTGTAGCCTCCGTTTATCCTTTTTTGCTTCCTAGTTTCACTCTGCTTCTATCAGAGCAGTTAGTTTTCTGAAGGATCAGTCCCTATGGATAAGGATTCTGCCCATGATGGGGGCAACACCAAGTTTGGGGAGGGCATGATTAGCTTTCATAAATGTTGTCTTCATGAGTCTTTAAGACTAGGTTCTGAACATGCAGCATTTCTTTGAATAAAATGCGTCTGTCATCTAGGAATTTAAACTCTTCTTGGGCCTCTTTCTTTCTTTACTCATCTCTCTCTCTCTCTCTCTCTCTCTCTCTCTCTCTCAACCCTGTGATGGATCAAGTGGGGCTTCCTTTGGGTTGTCTGAAGATTTGGGAGATTTGGTGATGTTTTAGCATTTGAGATTTGGTGAATAAGTTTGTTGGTTACCTTTCTCTATATCCCCTTCATAATATTCATAGCATCTTAGAGGTGAAAATTTATTTTATGTTTATTCTAAACTTAAGCATCAAATAAAATAAGCATTTTCATTTTAAAAATAGAACAGAAAAAGAATAAAATTCATGAAACAGAAGTTCTACTCCATATAGCTTTTTTTTCCCCTTTTAAGTAAATAATAAATCCACCGTGAAACTTTCAAAGCTATCTTTGTCTGTGTTTCCTTCTGGCCTTCCTTGTTTTCTTTTTTGTATTAAAAAATTATTTCAATGACCCCTTTTTCTTTTTTGGACCCTCCTTCTAGTCCCCCTCTCCCTCCTACCTTCCCCTTCTTCAAATTGCGGAAAGAAAGAAATAAAGAGAGAAAGAGAGGAGGGAGGAAGAAAGAAAGAAAGAAAGACTAACTCTTGTAACAAATATGCAGAATCAAGCAAAACAAATTCCCAATTGGATATGTCTGAAAATGGGTGTCTCCTTCTGCTCTTTGATTCCATAATCTCTTTGTCAAGAGGCAGGTTTCATGTTTCATGCTTCTTCATCTAGCTTCTGGAATTGTGGTTGGTCATTTCATTCAGAGTTAAGTCAAAAGTTGTTTTTGTTTTGTTTTGTTTTGTTTTGTTTGAGAGTAATGTTACATAAATTTCTCTTCTAATTCTGCTTCCTTTACACTGTATGAGTTTATAAAAATTTTTCAAGGTTTCTATTGAAACTGTCCCTTTCGTCATTTCTAACAATGCAAGAATATTCCATTACATTCATACATAACATCTTCTTCAGCCATTCTCCAATTGATAGGCATCTTTTAGTTTCTAGTTCTTTGTTATAACAAAAAGAGCTGTTAAACATATAGGTCCTTTTTCTCTTTCTGTGTCTGGCATATAAGCATAGTAATGCTATCTCAAAGGGCATACACAATTTAGAAATTTTTCAGAGACAGTTCCAAATTGTCTTGCAGAATGGCTAGACCTAAACAAACTTATGAAGAATTTAGTTCTGAAAGGTTTAAAGCAACTGGGAAAATGAAGGAATGCATATATTTCTCAACATCTTTACAAAAACTATAACCATGTGTTAAAGCATAGAGAAATTATAAATTAATGTAAGAAAAATACAAATGCTAAACATATCCTTTACAGATAACAAAATTAAAATGGCAATTAATGCAGGGAACACAAACAATATATACAAACCTAAGTAAACACTTAATGGCATCCTGAATAATGAATAGATTAAAGAACAAATAACAATAACTATGTGAAAGAGAATGATAATGATGAGATATAATGCTGTAATTTCTGGGATTCAGCTAATGCAACACAGAAAATAAAATATATTCCTAAGAATATATATTAGCAAAATAGAGAAACAGAAAACTCATGAACTACAACATTTTTAAATTAACAAATATACTCCAAATAAGCACAAAAGAGGAAAATCTGGAAATTAAATGAGAAATAGATACATAAGAAAACCAAGCCAAACAAACAAACAAAAAATCCCCTATAACTATAGAACTGATAAAACTAAACATTGGTTCTTTAAAAAGACTACTGAAAATGATAAAACTTAGGTAACTTGATTAGAAGGAAGAAAATAAATGAACACTATAAAAAAATGAATAAGGTGAAGTCACAACAAGCAGAAGAAATAAAAGAAATTATCAGGATCTTACTACTGATAGTTTTAACCAGCCAAACTGAAAATTTAAAAGAGAAGATTAGCAACAAAAGGTATAAAATGCTCCAATTAACAGAATACCAGATTAAGATCTTAATCCTATTTCAGAAAAGAAAATTGAACTAGCTCTACATGAAAAGGTAAAGATAGGTTTACAGGCAAATTCTCTCAAACTCTTGAAGAATAATTAATGCTCAAACTGTATAAATTAGTCTCAAAAATTGAAAGAGAAAACACTATCAAAATCCTTTTTATGAGACAAATGTAGCCCTAATACATAAACCAGGGAAGAATAAAGTAAAGAAAAAGAACTATTGATCAATATTATTAATGAATATATTTTCAGAAATTTAGATAAAATTCTGGCAAAAAAGACTATAGCCATATATCCCCCAAAACATTCACTAACGTCAAGTTGGACTTATCCTGGGGTTGCAAGGATCATTTAACATTAGGAAGCAATGCAACAAAACATCCAAAATAATGTGATTATGTCAGTAGATATGGGGAGAAAAAAAAGAAAAAGAAGTTGACAAAGGACAACACTCATTTAAGTTAAAAATTATGCAAAGAATTGGCATGTAGGACTTTTTAAAAAAAAACCTGTGATTTAAAAATATATATCTAAAATCAGTTCCTATGCTTTCCTTATCTAAAACCACAATCTGTATGGAACAGAGAAACTCTTCTGGTTTTCATAATAAATAAGGTAGTAAAGCAGGGATGCCCCCTTTCTCCACTGTTATTTGATATAGCTTTAGGTGTGCTAAAAAGAGCAGTGAGATAAGTAAAAGATATTCAGGGCAGAAAGACAGGCAAAGAAGACACTGAAATATCCCAATTGGTTGATGATGTTGTTTCCTCAGAAACTCACTATCTGCCAGGCAATTAACTGAAATAATTGTTGGCTTTAGCCAAGCAGCAGGATCTCTGGTAAAAATTTTTATTGATACCTTTCATTTTTATATCACATTTATTTCCAAATATATTCTTGTCTTATCTCCCCTACAAAGTGAACAAGGATTAAAAAAGGAGAAGAAAAAAATTTCCAGCAAAACCAACCAGTGCATTGCTGTGTCTAATAGTGTATGTCAGTAATAGTTCAGATATTTGAAACCATGTTATAATGCCCTCCCAAAGTCTTCTCTTTAGGGTAAATGTCCTCATTTCCTTCAGTCGATCTTAGAGGCCTTTTACTGACTGCCCTTCCCTGGACATTCTCCCCTATCAGTTTCTTAAAATAAGGCATTCACAACTGTACACGGTACTCTAGATGTGTATGAATTAGGACAAAATAGAGTAGGATTTCCAATTGTTCTGGATACACCGCCTCTATCAGTGCCGCCAAGGGCACCCTCTGGGCTGCTTTGGCGCACTGTTGACTCTCGCTGAGTCACTGAGAAGTCCCCAAGTCTTTTCCAAATGTGTCAAGATTTCCCCAATTTGTACTTCTAAATTTGTTTTGAACCAAAGTATAATACTTTGCATTTATCTTAATTAGATTTCATTTTCTTAGATTCAGCCTTTCTAGCCTATAAAATCTCTTTGGATCCTAAGTTTTTTCCAATTTATTAGCTGTCCCTCCTAGCTGTGAGTTATTTGCAAACTTGGTAGCCATGTATACTTGTCACGTTTTCTTTTCAAAGTGCTGTGATATTTGTGTGAGAATCAACCATCATTAAACCTTTATAAAGAGGATTACAGGGATGTGAAAGCCTTGTGGAAAAGATCAGATAATACAGTATGCACATGGAAGATGTTATTATGGTGGTGAGTTTTAAAACCCATCATTTCTTCCCTGTCCCATAGGCCGTCCAACTTTCCCAGTCCTGTGACCCTCACATTAAAGGACGGGGTTCAGAACTTCCGGTAATGACTCAAGAGGCATGTAAAGACAGAGATTTCCCTCTGAGTTCTTGTTCAGGTAAGTAAGGGGATAAGCAAAGGCTGGGCCCTCAGCACCCACCCAAATTCATTTTCCCCATTGTCTTTCTTATTCCGCTATTCCTTAACTCTCCGTTCAGCCCTCTCCCTTGAATGCTTGCTGCGGTTCCTATGTTGCCTGGGTCTTTCCTTCCCCACGCTGTGGGGTGGGAGAATGAGTTCGGATGCCGGACAGAGATTAGAGCTACAGTCAAACGACCTTCACCAAGAACGCCTGATATATCCCTAGGAGGCTGGGTCCCTTGACAGAGTTTTTTGGGGAGGTCAAGTCACTGTTCCCCCTTCTCTACATCTCACCATAGATTTCTTCACGGCCCCAGGGGCATATACCCCATTGTTTTCTTGAGAAAGCCTTTTCTATTAAGATAACCCTTACTAGTGTACCTAAACAAAAAGAAAATTGGGCGCCAGACCACAAAAGGTAGCAGGGTGATACTCTGTATCAGTATTCTGACAATATTTATAAAGCGCTTAGCATGGTGCCTGGCATATTGTAGATACTATAAAAATTTTTATTGCCTTCCCCTGCTTACGTAGTGTAAAGAGTATAGACTTGGGAATTTGGAGGCCTAGATTCTTGTCTTCTCTCTGCTACTAACTAGCTATGTAACCATAGGCAAATCACTTCATGGCTCTGGGGCAGTTTCCTCATTGGTAAAATAAGAGGGTTCAACTACATGTTTTCTAAAGTGCCTTCCAGCTTTCACATCCTGTGAACCTATGAATAAAAGGATTAAAAAGAGAAACAACAACGAATTCTGCTTCCCCTTTCTATTACTCTGTTTTAGGTTTTTGTGAGAATCTGTGTCCTGTATCTGATACAAGCAATCTGAATGGGTTTGGATTCTAGTCACAGCACTGTCATCAACATCCGTGTGATGTTGAGCAAATGACTTAAATCCTCTGTGCCTCACTTTTGGGGATAATAATACTTTATAAGGTTAGCATGGCAGAATCATGAAATAGATTCCTGAGTGTCAGAGTTGTCCTCCAATGGAACCTTGACCTGAAGCGGGAATCCTCTCTGTGTCATTCTGAAAAGTGGCCCTCAGATCGACTTGAATATCCCCAAGGGTAAAGAATGCATGACCCTCCAACTGCCTCAATTTCCAGTTCTGGGTGGCCAAAGTTTTATTGGAAAAGCAGTGATTCCTTAGAGAAGGCCTAAAGGCCTTCTAAGTAGTGTGTCACTGACAGCCAGAAAGGGGGCTGCCAAAAAGCAACTGTCTCCCTCCTTATCCTGCACTCAGCTATGCAGCCTTGCACGTATATAGATACAAAGGGTAATTTGTCACCACCTGCCCTCCTATACAGAATACAGCTGAGAATCAAGAAGGAATTCAAGAAAGGCTCCAGACCAATGAAGAAGGACCTCTTAAAGCCCATGCAACTCTATGAAATGATGCAGAGCAAAATGAGCAGAGCCAGGAAAACACTTATACAATGACACCTGTCTGAATCTGGGCCATTTTCCCTGGTGATGATAGATAGCAAGCAAATATAGGAGACTTGCTGGGGGTTAGGTTTTTGTTGTTGTTGTTAACCTTTTTTCTGGACCACCAGCATGAGCTGTGTTTTTTAAAGGTCTGTGCATTCCTTCTGGCCCGGCCCCACAAAATGAGCAATGAGGTAGAACAGGAGAGGGCCAATGTGAGGACCCGCTGTGTCAGTGCAGGGCCAGGACTCAAACCCAGGGCCCAAATCTCACTTGTCTTTCTATCTTTCTGGCTTTCCCCTTCTCTCTCCTTTCCCCCCTTTTCCATTCTCTCCTCCCCTCGCTTTGTCTTCTTACCTCTTTATTCCTCCATGCTCTCCCATTCTCACCTCTCTGTATTCCCACCTTCTTTTCACTGTTCTCTTCTTTCCTTCTCATTTTCTCCTCCATGCTCTCAGTTTCCTCTCTCTTCTTTTCCTCCCATTCACCACGGTCTTTCTCTACCACCTTTCTTTCTCATTCCTACATCTTTTATTCTCCCTCTCCTTTCAACCTCATACCTTCCTCTTTTCTATCCCAGAATCAATTACTGAGCATCATTTCTGCCCATCTCCTCCTTTTCAGAAGGTGACAGCAGCATCATGGTGAAGATCAAGTGGGAGAGGCAAGAGTGGCTCCCGCAGGCCCTGGAGACCCCTGCCATCCTGCCAGAGAAGGACAAGGAGAACATCTTCCAGCATCGCCTGGGTCATCCGCTTCTCCAGGCTTTGGGGAAGGCTCGAGCCCCAGCGGGGTGGGAAGAAGCCCAAGGCCCAGGCCAAATTCCCAGCGCTCAGTGGATGGGAGTGTCAACGGGCCGTGGGTCCACAGCAGTCCCCTCACCCCTTGGCCCACAGTTCCCAGTAAGTGAGGGACACTTTGTCTGTCCAGACTGTGGGAAGAGGTTTAGCTGGTGGTCATCACTGAATATCCACCAGCGCACTCACACAGGAGAGAAGCCTTATCACTGTGGCAAGTGTGGCAAGAGCTTTAGCCAGAAGCCAAACCTGGTCAGGCACCAGAGGCACCACACAGGCGAGCGGCCCTTCCACTGCCCTGAGTGTGAGAGGCGCTTTAGCCAGAAGCAACATCTGCTCAAACACCAGAAGACACACTCCCGCCCCGCAATCCACTCCTGTCCTGAGTGTGAACGACGTTTCCGTCACAAAGTTGCCCTCCGCGTCCACCAAAGGACCCACGCCCGTGACCGTCAGCTGGCTCGGGCTGAGCTGCAGAAGCTCCTTAGAGACAAGGTGACCCGAAGGCCCCGCCGGCCGCCATCTGCATCACGAGAATCGCCAGGCCGTCCCTGGGTAGAAGCCGGCGGAGGGTGGAGGGCTGGGCCGCCTGCCGAGGCTCGGACCTCTGCTGCTGGCTCTGGGGAGCAGCGCCAGTTCATCTGCAATGAGTGTGGGAAGAGTTTCACGTGGTGGTCATCGCTGAACATTCACCAGCGGATCCATACAGGAGAGCAGCCGTATTCCTGCCCGGAGTGTGGGCGGCGCTTTAGCCAGAAGCCCAACCTGACGCGGCACCTGCGTAACCACACAGGTGAACGGCCCCACCTGTGCCCTGATTGTGGCCGGGGCTTCCGTCAGAAGCAGCATCTGCTCAAACACCAGCGCACACACCGAGCTGGGGAAAAGGCTTCCTCGTGCCCCGGCTGTGGGGAGAGCTGCCCCAGCCGGGCAGCCCTGCGGGCCCACCAGCGGGCCCATGCTGCTGCTGAGCTGCTCCGTGGGGCAGCCCTCCGGGGCCGGATGCTGGTGGCAGTGGCCAGTGTAGAGCCAGGGTCGGGCTTGATGCAGCCTGCGGAATATGCCCTGGGCTTCTCTCTACAGCCACCACCAGCTTCCCAGGCCCTGCAAGGGGATGAGGTCGTCTTGCTGGACAGGGAGCCACGCTGGGGCAGGGGCCCAGTAGGCGTGGCCCGAGCAGGTGGAGGAGTCCCTTCATCTGGCACTGTGGAGCAGCGTCAGTTCATCTGTAACGAATGCGGCAAGAGCTTCACCTGGTGGTCTGCGCTCACCATCCACCAGCGGATTCACACTGGGGAGCGGCCCTACCCTTGTCCAGATTGTGGGCGTTGCTTCAGCCAAAAGCCCAACTTGACTCGGCACCAGCGGAACCACACAGGCGAGCGGCCTTACCTATGTGCTGACTGTGGCAAGGGCTTCAGCCAGAAGCAGCACCTGCTTAAGCACCAGCGTGTCCACAGAGGAGGGGGCCAGGTAGTGCTTGCCCCTGCACCTAGTGTCAAGGAAGAACCTTAAAGGACGCGACTGAGACTCAGGAAGTCTCCATAATTGGGGATTGTGTGCATGTGTGTGTAGGGGGGGAGGGTGGGGAATGGGCAGGGGTTATAGTTGACCTGCTTGCTTGGACAGAAGACCCCTGAGAGCAGCAACTTTCCTAGGGAGGCTTCTCCCCAGCCCTTGAGTTTTCTTCGAGGCTTAGAAACTCATCCTCCAAACAGCTTGTGGATGAGTCCTAAGACGACCTGGTACCTTGAGTACAGTGGGGTTGGGTTAGGCCGGAAAACATCAACTTCAGTGATTGACTTCTTCCTATTTTTCTCCCTCCTCCCTTCTTCAGGGGATACAGCGTAGCTCTAGATGGAGATTCCTAGAGAGGAACCTTCACAATTACTTGTAAGAATTCAAAGGCATGGAATGCCTAGGGTGCAGGCCAATTTAGTCTTAGCGAGATGCCATACTGGTCCATACTGGCCCAAAGAATGGGCACATCAAAGAGGAAAGGGTCTTTATAGCTGCACTCAGATGCATCATCAACATTGGAAGCCAGAAGTCTTCTAATGATACAGGTGGGATGAGGGAACTTTCCTAGCCCAGGCCAGAGTAGAAGTGTGGGAGGCCTGGCCCAGTGGCACTGAGAATGGTGCCTAGTTGTGGTTTGACATTATAGAGGTTTCAAGAGAATAGCAATGTCTCCTATCATTTAGAAAACAAAATGGTACCCAAGGTAGGATGAAGATGACTTACTTTATCAGGACTTATCTTTTATCAAGAGTGTTTCAGAAAAGAAAAATGAAGGATTGAATGTTTAAAATGGTCTGACTGCTTATTTCCTTTTCTCTCCCTTACCCCTACTTGCTAAATCTCCAGGACTTTGATTTGCTTTCTTCCAAGAAGCCACCAAGGAGGATTCTCTTTTTTCTGCATACCATACATATGCTCAGTGGGAAGAAATACTTCCTTCTCACCCCTACTCCTGGAGAAAGGGACAGAATCAGCTTGCTCTCAAACATCTCAAGTCAATTAAAGGCTGAAGATGTTGAGACATACTGGTTGGAGAGAGCCCTGCCTTGTCTTACTGGCTGGCAGACAGTGAGGGGCCAATCTAGAGGAAGGTAAATGATTGGGGTTGGGTGGTCTTAGTGGAATTCTTAGTGGTCCCAGCTACGACTAGGTGCCCATAAACCTGGGGAGGGGTGGAGGAGGGGTGGGAGTAGCATTGGGTGACAGAAATTGTTGATACAACTTGCCCTAAGGGAGGGTACATGATCAGTTTTCTTTTTTGAAGCCATAAATGGGTAGGACCTGTGGTTTCATTGGTGTACTGAACTCCATAGTATGGAAATACCTTCCACTGATGCAGATTAGCAACTCATCTGTAATGTAAGTGTTTTGGGGAGTTTCCTGGGCACCAAGAGATTAAATGACTTGCCCAACATCAAATAGCCAGTATTGGTCAAAGGCAAGATTCAAACTAGAGTTTTCCTAGCACCAAAGCTGGTCCTCTATCCCCTAGACCCTGATGCCCTTCAATAATGATAACCCTTTACTAGTCATTTTCTTGTTTCTTTTTTAATCAAGGTTGTTTATTAACAAGGATACTCATGAGGAAATGTGACCTTCCATATTGACCTCTGGCCCCAAGAATTCCACAACCCCAAACACTTTGGTACACTGCAGAAAGAAATTAGTTAATCTCTCTTCAGTGATGGGTACTGGTCGGGCAAATGGCTGGCAGATATTATAGAGAATTGGCAGGGGCCACTAGCCTCTGTTCAGTCTGGGATGTAGTGACCCATGAGGGTGACTTCTCACTGTTCCTGACTGTGGCCAAAGAGCTGTGATAAGTATGCACCACAATGGCTCTTACAAAGGACAAAACCACTTTTGGAGAGGCACCAGGCCCTACTTCATGTGATGATTGGCACAATGAGCAGCTTTAGTTGCAAAAAACTCACAGGTATCAGTCCAGGATGAGAAAGACTCATTGTTGGCATCATAGGGTCTCCCATGTAGGGAGCTAGCCTGATGGAAAAATGGAGGACAGATCAAGAAGAGATTTTCCTTGCTGAAATGTAGCAAATGTTTAGTCAGTCAGGTGCTGAGCTTGATCTTCCACCCATTTGTGACCCTTTTTCGTTTTCTCATGGGTGAAGTAGATCACAGTGGTCACAGTAGTTGGGCATGGTAGTTCTTGATCTTTGGTCATTTTGATGTGCCTGGACAAAGTTCAGTCTTCTGGCACCCAACCACACCATGTCTGAGCACTGTTGGGCCCTATTTAACTTGAAGTCCATCTAGCCATAGTATCCTCATAAGAGACCAGTTCCTACACTTGTTGCTTCTGTTCCTTGATATGCTAACATGCTGTACATGTGGAACAAGTTTTTCCTTTAGGATACTCTTAAGTGTTTAGGACAGGAAGTCTTAAGCTTTTTTTGTGTCTCTCATGAATCCCTTTTGCAGAGTCCTTATGGACTCTTTCTCAGAATAATGTTTTTAAATGCATAAATTAAAATACATTGGATTGTAGAGGAAACCAGTTGTATTAAAATATGGTAATGAAAATGTAAGAACAACCAAAAACCAAATTTACATACAGTAGAGGTTGAGAACCTCTTAGACTCTAGGGAGAACGCAGTCCCATAATTCTCCAGCATCACATCCCGGAATAGAGTCCTCTGATCTGGGTTAAAGTACTGTTCCTCCTCCTTGAGATTTGGGACCTCACCTTCTAAAGTCCACTCATACCTACTTTTCAGATTCTCAGCAGAGCTTCTTCCTGGATGGCTCTCACTAGTGGCCCCAGGATAGCCATGGAAATGCTCATAGGAAGTCCTCTCATTTTCTCCTTACAAGCTCCCTGTGAGGAAAATACAGTAGTTATCTCCATTGAGGACTAGAGAAATACATTTTCAAGAGTCACAAAGTGACCGTGTACGAATGGCAACCTCCCACTTCCTCTAACTGGGAGACAAGGTTATGATACTCTTGATACAGAAAATAATAGAATTAAGTGCTAAGCAGCCTAGCGTTTCAGATCCATGTAGGCTGGAGTCTTTGTAAGAAGCTTTAGGAAAGTGGCAGGACCTGAGTTGGGCTTTGAAGGATGGATAGATTTTGGATAGAGAGAGAAGGGAGAGTGGATTATGGATAAAGGCATGGGGATAGAATGTCCAAGGTAAGTTTGGGAAGTCAGTGACTCACAGAATCACAGAATCTTGGAACTGGAAGGGACCTTAAAGGTTATTTAGTCTAGCCCTTACCTGAATCCCCTCTCCGTTCTTCTTGATGACTGGTTGCTCAGTCCTCTAGTTACAGAGAATTCGTGTCTCCCAGCCCTTGTTCTGTCTCTTACATGACAGCCCTTCAGATGACTGAAGGCTGTGATTGTGTTCTCTCTTCAATGTGTTTTGGTTCCTTCAGGCTGCATATGATATAGTTTCAAGACCCATTGCCATTCTGGTCACTAAACTCTGCAGGGCCCAACTTTTAAATGTCCTTTTTCAAGTGTGCTCAAGACTGAATGCAGTCCTGCAGCTTGGAGTCCCATGGGACTAGTGCCTTTGTCATTCTGAATGGGTCATCCAGAAAATGCAGGCCAACCTAACTGACTTCACTCCTTTCTGATACGGTTCCTGTCAGTAGAACAGGTATTTGCCGAACAAACCAACCAAGTACTAGGCTAAATACATCAAATGGTATGTTTTTATATTTTATATCTGATAAAGAAGTCTGTTTCTAGGGTGATGAGCAAGGAAGGAGCTCTTAGCCAAGCAGGCAAGCTTCATGGAGGAGGTAAGATTTCAGAGGTTTTTTTTTAATCAACCAAAGGTTGTTTTGCAGAACAAATGATTTTATGCTATTTGGCAAAGGGCCCTCCTGCCTTCCTCCCCACCCCCACCCCCATCCCCCTAACCTTTACAAGACTGGCACCTGCAGTTATCCACCATCTATGGAGACAGGTTTAAGGTCTCCAGTACTTGTAGGGAAAATAAGAGTGGTGCTATGCTGTTGGCTGCCATGGTGATGCCAGTCACCATGAAAACCAACACTGGGGGTGCCATTTGGCAACAGAGGACAGAAGCATCCATATTCAGTGGGAAGGACTGGCACAACACTATGCATTCACAGTCATTTTGACATGGAACAGAGAGGGCTTGGCAGGATGTTAGGCAAGCTTTTTTAAGGGAGCATCCTTAGCGGTATTGAGTTCAGTAACAATAAAAATCCTTATGATGCTTAAGGAGGGAGGATTGGAAAACCAAGAAAAATGTATCAAAACATCCCACAGAACTGGAAGAGAGAAAAGAGAATACTGAATAATACTGCTCAGGTGATGAGTTTGGGGTTTTTTTTGGGGGGGTGGGGGTGGTGAGAAGGAGGATTGGGACTGGGAATGCCCTGGAATGATTTGCTTCTGGCAGCAACTTGTATTCCCATCTTCCAGGTCCTCATATTCTCCTCAAATAGGAACACTGGTAGGATCACCTCTGCTGAGGAAGTTGGAAGGGTGGTGGGTACCTCTTCCTCTCTGACAACCAAAGAGAAGCAGGTCAAAGTAGCAAATGGCAAAGCTGAGGAGTTGCTTATGGCATATTGCGGTGGTGTCAAACCCAAATAGAAATACACTGAAGGTAGTGTATTGACTTAGAAAACCACAAATCACCATTACCTATGTTTTAGTGTATTTTTTTTACATTGTTAAATATTTCCCAATTACATTTTAATCTGGTTCTATCAGTAATATTTGACACCTATGACCTACTGGACCTCACTTACAGTCTACATTGGAGGCTAGCACCATGAAGGTTGGAGTGGGCAATTTGAACTTCCTGTTTTCCCCAGCTCTGAACATGATATTCTGCACATATCGTAGGCCATCAATATGTTTTTGTCACTGAGTCCCTCAGACAAAACATCATAAGATGTTCTCCTATCTTTTGGGGATCACAAAATTGATCTCCATGTCCCTTACTCTGCTGGGGCTAGCTACTTGGTGTTTATGCTCATGGATAAAGAGAAAGAAGATGTGTGCACAGGTGTGCACAGCATAGCTACCAAGTATAAAATGTGGGGCTTGGACGAGATGGTCCCTAAGATTCCAGCTCTGATCCTCTAATCTCCGGCTCTGACTCCTGCTTGCTCCCCATTGACCGGTGCACTCTCCTTCTCTTCCTCCAGCCCTTGAAGTGTTACTTGTCAGTAAATTAGGACTCACTCTATGTCAATGCAGTGTTTCATTGGTGCTTAAGACACTTACATTCTTCAATATGTCAAGGGATCTGGGAGATTGTCAGGGTGGGTGTTCACATCAAACCCTCCCTACACTTTGGTAGATGATCTTGGACAGTTGCTAACACTGAAAAAAAAAATGGATCATCCTGTGGCCACTGTAGTAGTGAGGGCCTCAGAATTTAGCTAGGCTGAGAATCAGATTTCAGAAACCGAGTCCATCTTTGAGCCTGTCCTCTCAGCCTTTCCTGCTTGGTAGTATTTGCCAGAGCTTGTGCTTATGGATGTATCTTTTGAGACCCCAGGGTCCACCTCCATGTCACAATGAGGCATCAGCATTGGGCTTATGTGAAGGAGAAACTCTGATGATCCCCTATAAATGCTTCCTATTGGATTAGCAATCCTTGGGGGTTAGCAAGGGTCACTAATCCACATTTACTCCCCCAGGACAACTTCTCCCTCCTCTTTTCAATGTCATTCTCTCGGAGCCCCTCAAACTTCTTGGTCCCAGGCTCCCACAAGGGTGTGCTAGGTAGCTCCACCTCACTTTTGCCCAGATCTCTGTCACCTAATGGGCTGGGCACCAGGGGCTTTCTCATTCAGTTTTGAGGGACCCATATTTAACCTGTGATTCCTTGAAGCCAGTGGCCGCCAGGTGACATGTACTCCTATGGAAACAGGACAGGGTTAAACTGTACCTTGTGGGCATGCTCCCCAGAAAAAGCATCTGATATATGCAGTAACCACACTTGGGGAGGTCCTGCTCCTGGTGACCAGGACTCGGATCTTCAGGTTATCACCAGGCAGCCACATTAGCTACTTTGGAAAAAGACCTAAGGCTCATACGGACACGATCAGCTTCTAAAGTCCGTACAAATTATCCAAGCAAAAGAAGGAGACTAACCCTCTTATCTATACCAGTTTCAGGTTGCCTTT